ACCTGAGCGAGTGGGGGCCACGCTTTCGCCGCCTGGCCGACCTCTACGGGCACTAGCGGGGATGAGGGGCATGAGGGGAGCACCCCTTGCCCACAGAGGGGCTGGGGCAGGGAAGGGACAGAGGGGGGCTCACATAGACAAGAGATGACCAGATGCAGCAGCTTTGTATACGGACATGCACAAGACACCCACCCGGAGGGGCTTTGCGAGAGGCCTCCGTGCAGGGGGGTCCACACCTGCACCCCCCCCAGACCCCAGCCCAGCAAACCCAGGCAGCCCTGGGAGGGGACACCCTGGGGCAGCCCCACAGAACTGAGGAGGGGGGTGAGGAGTCACGCCATAATAAAGAGCAGGGGCCAGTGGTGGTGGGGCGGTGTCCCCCCACCACACTGATGGCCCATAGACACAAGGCACTTTTATTGGGAGCCAGCAGCACCCATCAGGGGGGCATCACCCCCACCCCAGGGCTCCCAGCACTGGTCCTCCTGGGGCAGGATCTGGCCCTGCTGCGGGAGGGTGTGCTGCTCTCCCAACCCACCCAGCGCACGTCCTGGGGCTCCCTGTCATCCCCGTGAGCATGCACGGATGGGTGTCCCAGCAGTGGGGAGACCCCCAGGGATCGGGGGCACAGCTACATCTCATGAGGAGTGTCCAGGGAGCCCAGCATCCTCTTGGTGGAGGCAGCGAGGCGGGAATAGTCGTGGGGGATGCCATGGGAGGCGAGCAGGGGCAGGTGGTCCTCGCAGGGGGGCCGGCGGAAGAGGGGGGGCCGGCGCTGGTTCTCACCGTCCTGCAGGGACTGGGGCAGGTTGCGGCCCTGGCTCTCAGGCAGCAACATGATGCTGAGCACGGCCAGGATGGCGAAGGAGGCGAACACCACATGGTGCAGGAAGAAGCCACGGCTGTTGGGGATGGCGGTGATGGGCGCTGCCGCCTTGCCCACGAAACTGGCCCCCACGACCAGGCCCAGCCCAGCACCCCTGCGGGGGGAACACACTCAGAGGGGGCCCTGCCCCTGTGCCCCCCAACCCAGGGTAGCACAGGAGGGGGGTGGCTCCCCCCTTACCTGACCACGGTGGGGAGAACCTCACTGGCAAAGAAGATGCTGAGCATGGTGACAGCATGGGAGGCAGCCGTGCCCACCACAGAAAGGGTCAGGACAATGAGCTCCAGCAGGTCTGGGAGGGGGTGAAGCACCATCAGGGGTCAAATCCCGCACCCACCCCTCTCAGACATGCAGTTCCCTCCCCAGTTGGGGGCTGCATCCCTGGGGGTCCCCTGAGGGTCCTTACACTGGGTGAGGGCCAGCAGCAGGAGGGAGGAGATGCCCGTGAGGACGGTGCAGAGGAGGAGGATGGCGCGGCGTCCGAAGCGCTCGGCCGTCAGGCACACGAAGAGGCAGGCAGCCACCTCGGTGCCCACCAGCACCAAGTAGGAGGAGAAGAAGTGGGGCAGGTGGGGGGCCAGGTTGCGAGTGAAGCAGTGGCGGATGCCGGAGCCGATGAACCTGTGGGAGAGCGGCGTCAGGGGGCCACAAGTGAGACCCCCCACCCCAGCAGCACCCTCACAGTGTCCCCCTCATGCTCACGCCGCGAAGCCGAGGATGACGCCGTTCTTCCAGATGACTCTGGTGCTGAAGATCTCACAGACAGCGTGGTACCGGGGCTGTGGGGATCCCTCGGACAAGGCCTCCAGCTCTGCTGGGAGAAGGGATCCCAGGATAGAGTCGGCACTGCCCCACCACCCTCAGCACCATGGCTGTGGGGAGGGGTCCCAGTGTCCCATCACCCTTGGAGTTCCCCCACACACCCGTGAGGAGGCTGTCCTGGGGCCAGTTGTCCTCAGCCAGCGCCTGTAGGGTCTTCCTGGCCCTCTCCAGTTGCTGGGTGGCCAGCAGCCAGCGCGCTGACTCCAGCAGCAGTGCTGGGCACCTGGGGCATGAGTGTCAGGTCACAGAGCTCCCCAGGGGCCTGGCCCCCTCCAGCACTGACCCTCCCATCCAGCTTCAAAGCAACAC